AAGGAAAGGAAAGGAAAGGAAAGGAAAGGAAAGGAAAGGAAAGGAAAGGAAAGGAAAGGAAAGGAAAGGAAAGGAAAGGAAAGGAAAGGAAAGGAGTAAAGAAAATGAAAAGGGTGGGGAAAAAAAAAAAAAAAAGGAAAAATAAAAGAAAGGTGGGGGAGAAAAGCGACTGGTACAATCCCCGGCCGAGAATTAGCTGGAGGATTCAAGCAACCGATCCAAGACTGGCGCCTTTCCCTTGCTTGCTATCCTCGGGCACACTTATGTGAGGCCGGCTTTATCTTTACCTAGTGCAGCCTAATTCACACAAACTGACCATTACTCGTCTTGACGCGCCTACGTCAGCCTGAGCGCTGCGAGGTCACTGTCCTCAGTGCTACCCGCGAAGAGCATCCGAAGCTCTGCCGAGGAACCCACACGGTGCAAACAACGTTTTTAAAACGTATGAAGATAAATGGCCGCCTTGCACAACAACACGAGCATTGTTCCATAAAATCCCGTTTTTCTATCAAAAGATCATAAAATTGTGCCCGTGACGGAACGACTCGAGGCACGGGGGGCCTTTCCATACGTTACCAAGTTAATATATCACCCCTTCAAATGAGCAGATGGAGTCTTATTTTAAAGAGCGGCGGGTTAAAAGTCGCTGCAGCTGTGCTGGTATTAAATGCTGTGGCAGCGCATATCTTGCTTTTTAAATCTTTATTATTATTATTATTATTATTATTATTATTATTATTATTATTATTATTTACCTCCCATCAAAGACGCCAGTGAAACAGCCTACCTGAGATGAACGGCTCTACCTACCCACGCGCGCGCGTGCGGGTTTGCGTGTTGGTGCGTGTGCGCGGCTGCACCGCCGTGGGGCGGCGACCCCGTGGGGCTTTTTTCTCGCGCAGGAGACGCGGGGGTTTAATGCCCCGCGCAGAAGCCCCCCGGCGCCCGCACCTTTCTCGTCGTGCGTCGGCGTGGCCGTGATGGGGATGTCAAACCACTGCGCGAGCGGGTTCGAGTACCACACGGTGAGCTCCTCTCCCGGCTGCACGTCCCGCAGCGCCCGGTAGAAGATCTGCGGGGAGGCGAGAAAGGCAACTTGTCGAGGAGCCCCACGCGAGGCGGGCGCGTTGCGGGGCGGGCGCGTGGCGGGGCCGCGGGTGGGTACCTGTCCGCCGGGCAGCTCCGCCACGGCCTCCAGCGTCTGCTCCCGGGAGTCGCGGGCGGCGCGGATCAAACCTATCCACTCCAGGGCTGAGCTGCCGGCCTCGTCTACCAGCTCCCCTCTCACCATCCGCACCTGGAAGACAGCGGCACCGCCGTCATTGCCACTTGCACATGGCAGGAATAAGCCCAAGCCTCTCCTGTCGCCCCGCAGCAGCCCCTCGCCTGGTGCCGGGAATCAAGACTGGAAAAGAGCGGCGGGAGCACCTCGGGTTTCCCCACCAGCTCTTCCATCCTTCCTCCTCCTTGAGCAGGACCCTCCTGGACTTGCGGCGCTCACCTCCTCGGCGGGAGGAAAGTTGGGGGAGCCTAGGGAGTAGGATGCTCCAGCACCATGCAGCATGGGCAGGATAAATAACATCGTTCCCTTGGGTCCCCGGTGCACCTCGCGCAGTGGCGGTGGTCGCTTAATGCCGTGTTAAATGCCCCGGCAAGGTGTCATTAGCCTGTCGTGAAGAATTTGTGCGGCCTCTGAATCCGTGCAGAGTAATCACGAAACACGGGATTGTTGGGAGGGGGAAAGGGGAGAGGTCTGCTCAGCTACAAAGTCTCCGCAGCCCCATACTTCATAATCTGCTTACCCATACAAAGAGAAAATGAAGTGCCCATTCGCTCAATGACCGTGCAATAAAAGTCATCGGAACAAAGCAGTCTAAAGCGAGAAACCAATGGAGCCAGATGAGAAATAAATTTGAGTGGGCTGGCAGAGCGTTTAAAAACAATTAAAGGGCATTAAAAGCCCGAGCGGAACGCGTGAGCGCGGGGGGCGGCAGGCGGCCTCGGCTGCGGCTCTCTCGCCCCCCAAACCTGCTGCACGGGGTAAGTGCCCCCCCCCCCCCCAGTCCCTGACACCCCTTTCCTGCCACCTCCTGCGCGCCCCTTTAAACTAAGAGTCGCTTTATTTCCCAGCCGGGCCGGGCGGGCTACCGCGGTGCCGGGGCCCGGCCCAGGGGCTCGCGGATATCGGGCCGGCACCTGCGGCGGCCGCGCGCCCACGCGCGACCCGCTCCCACCCGGCCCGGCAGCCCGCGCTCCGGGCCGAGCGCTGCACCCGTGGCCGGGGAGCCCGGGCCGTGTGGGAAACGAAAAGCGGGAATAAACCAGCCTCTCCCTGCAGTTCCCGCCACCTTCGGGATAAAAATCGGGGCTTGGGTGAGAGCCGCACTCCCCGTTTTAGTTGGGGGTGCAGGGGCGGGAGGGGAACCGCGACGAGCCCCGAGCCGGGCAGGCAGAGAGCGAGGAAGGGGTCGGGGCTGCTCCTCCGGCACCGGGTACCGGGCATCGAGTTCCGAGTTTCGGGCTCGGGCACCGGGATCCAGCGGCTGCCACTTTCACGCAGGTCCGTGTCCAAGGCAGGGACGGTGCGAGGGAGCCGGCAGGTGCCTCGGTCTCGTCGCGCAGGAGCCAGCGGGGCGGGCCGGGTGCTCCGGCGCTGGGGCGGTGGGGCAGGGGAAAGGGGCAGGAGGGATTTTACGAGAACGCGGAGAAGCCGCGGGACGCTCTGCAAACGCTCCCCGTTCCGGAGAGTGGGAGAGAAACGGGGAAGAAGCAGTCTTTCTCCGGAAAAAAAAAATTAAAAAAAAAAAAAAAAAAAAAAGAAAAGAGAGAGGGCAGGGGGGGAAAGAGCTAGAAAAACAGCTAGATCCAGCCGAAGCCGCTGCCGGAGACACCCTAGGAAATACCTTTTTTTTGGGTCCTGGCTCCCTGCGGTCTGACAGGTACTTGCCCAGTTTGAAGATGCCCGGCACGGGCCCCAGGCGCAGTCCAGCCGGGATGCAGCTCTCCGCGTTCACGCTGATGGCCGGAGCGCGGCTCGTTTGCATCGCTGCCTCTGGCTACGAGCAGGCAGGGTCCCCAACTACTTAACGACGCCGGAGTGACAGAGAGAGGCAGCGAGAGGGATGCGCACGGGCGTTTCTCCGCCCGCAGAGTGACGCGGCGCCCTGTGCGCGCCCGCTTTTCAACGGGAGCGCGAGGGGACCCCTCGGCAGGCGGGTGCTCCAGGGCGCCGAGTTGGGTGAGAGAGTTTCGCTCCTCGAGCAGCTGCCGAGTCCCATCCGAGAGGGTCACATGGAGCCGTTCCCTAACCCTCCTGCATAATCAGGCGCTCTGAATGGGCGGCAAACAATGGGCCAAGCGACCTTCCCATTCCTAAAAATCCAATTTGTCAAGGGCAAAGAAAAGGCGCTGGTGAATCAAAGGTCTGGAGGGACCATTAATCCTCAGCATGGGGTATTGTCCCCGAGACAGTTACGATATTTTAAGTGACAAATCCACTGTATAATTTCTCCATAAATTTTGCTTCCTTTTATTGTTTCCCGACAAACCAGTTTTGGAAAATAAGTGACTATTTTAAGTCTACTTGGCTGAGCCTTTTGAGGCTTAATATACTTCAAAGATTTTTAATTCTCTTCCCTTGGCTTTATTGTAAAGGAGATTAAACAAAGAGATGGGGAATGTTTTGAGGACTTGTTAACTTCTATTGATTCCTGGCGTGTGCCATACAGAAATTGGGCAGGTACTTGATGGGAAAACACCAGAAAATACCTACACTTTTTTTTTTTTTTTTTTTTTTTTTTTTAAGAAGGACCATATTACCATTTCAGTGGGTTCGTTTCAGGCCAGTAATCTATTTAGACCAGCTTTGCTCCTGAAGTAGGATGAATAACAGAAAATATGAGTCTCTGTAGCCCCTGTGAAACACAAACCGCTGCATTTGCGAGTGCTGGGAAAACTCTGCAATTCGTCTTATTCGCAGGCGGATGCATTAGGAACCAGAGGGAGGCAACAGTCAGGAAACAGGGACACACAAGATATCACAGACATGGAGCGAAGAGAAGATACTGGGTTCCTTATTTAATACGGCCACAGGTTCCTCTCCCACAGCCAAAAGTGCTTTCATCGAGATCGCTTTTTCTAAGGCGAACCCTGTAAATAAAACTAGATGGAAGTGATCAGAACAGACTATGTCCGACGGCCTCTGTGACTGGAATATTTTGATTAAGATGAAATGGGGAGCTGGTGGTGTTATGAGATGCCCCAGAAAAGAAAGTACCCAAGCACATATTTTCGCTGCTGTTGCTGGTACATTGTGAGAGAGAGTATGGACAAAATAGCAGGTGTTGCTGATACGGATTTTATCCATTTCTTCCAAAAGCAAATGAAGGGATTAAAAAAAATGTAGCTTCACTAACATTCAGGCCTCCTAATTTCAAATGCAAGCCAAAAAAAGTAAAAAGTAAAAAGTAAAAAAAAAAAAAGTAAAAATTAAAAAAAGAAACTAAAAACACCAAAACCTTGGCTTGCTGGGAGATGTCGCACAGCAGGTAACTGGGCGAGCGCTTCTCGGCTCAACCCTCCTGCAGCACGAAGCCCAAAGATCGCGTCCAAAGATCGCGGGTGTTTTGCCCTGGCCGGGCTCCCTCCCCCCAGGCGTGTGCGTGGGGGCCAAGAGCAGCGGGGATCCCCCAGCACGAGCAGCTCCCACCACGAGCAGCCCCCAACGCGGGAGATGCCGCTACCGTCGGGGCGGTGCTGGGGGCATCAGGGAACCAACGCGGCGACACCTCGTCCCGCCGCCGCCCTCCGCCCCGGGCCGCCCTCGGGGGGACGTTTCCACATGGTCCCAGCGGGCAGCGCCTCCTCGGCCCGACGGGACGGCTCGGGGCGGCACTAAATCAGCGCAGGACACGTATATGTCTTTAATAACGGTCCATATGTGCACGCGCGAGGTAAATGTGGGGCCCGTCCGCAGCGGCTGCCCTGACCATCGATCCCGGCCCTCCAGGGCGCAGTTGCAGCCGCCGTCCCGGGGACAGGACGGTTCCCTTTTCACTTCAGCCGGGCGGGGGGAAAAGATGTGAGGAACTGAAGATGACCCCTTTGATCAGCAGCATGAATGGGAAAAAAAAAAAAAAAAAAAAAGATAAACAAGAAGTTGAGGGCAATAAATTTAAGCCATGAACATGTCCCTATAACCTCTGGCCTAGCGGCTTTAGGATGAGTCCCGGCTTAAATTCCAGGAGTCGCGGAGGTAGCGAGAGGGCTTTCAAGGCGAGCAGGGTACCCTACTGCTCCGCTTGGGGAGCCGCTCCGTCCAAGGCCTTAATGAGTCAAAAAGCGTGAACGACACGCGAACAATTTTATCAATAGAACCATGTAAAGGCCGACTGTGAGGAAAGTTATTTATTAATATAGCCAATTGTGGCTGGTTCCCATCCACTCCGAAAAGAAAAGCTCTTGCTCTGGAAGCATTCACACCAGTTCTCCAATTTTTATTCTGTCCTGTGGCTCAAAGTTGAAGTTCCCCAAGTGAAATAAATTGTCCACAAAAGAGGAAAGGAACCACATTTTCTTTTATTTTTCCTTCCCTAAAAAGGAAGGGTGAAACCGATCTAATGTGCCCACTGGAGCAAGATGCAGCATGAAAGGCCGGGTGTTAAAAGTAAAAGCAGCCTTTGGAGCAAATGGGATGGAAAATTAAATGAAATTAAATAGCTTGAACGACCGTATTGTCCCTTATTAAAAAGACACATTAATTACATGGTTTCAGCTTTATTCAGAGACAATGTTTAGACTCAATCAAAACATTCCACTATCGTTCTTTATATACTTAAACCGGGCTACTAGAGACACCATTAAAGCGAAATCACTTTTGCCCAGGGATGCGGCGGGAGTTTTCTTTCCGAGGCAGCCCTTATTGATGCCCACGGCTGAACTGCCGCTGCCCCTTGGCACAGCGCTCTCCCCGATTGAGCAGGTTGCCCCGTAATGAGGCATGAATGTTCAGGAACAAGAGGCATCCAAAGAGGCGCGGAGGCGCAGAGCAATGTCCCACCAGGGAGCTCCTCGGCGGCCACCAAGCCGCTGGGGCGCAGGGAGGGCTCCGCGCTGCCCACGGGCGGCCGCGACGTCGGGGGGCGCGACGCCGCCTCCCGGGGTCGGTCACCTCGTCTCCAAAGGCGGCCGCTCCGCGCGGGCAGCCCCGTCCGCGGCGGCACCGGACGGGACGGGATGGGAAAGGGGAACAGGGCGGGACTGGGTGGGACAGGGCAGGACGGGACGCGAAAGGGATGGAAAAGGGATGGGATGGAATGGGATGAGATGGGACGGGTAAAGCGCCGCGGAGGGGAGGAGGAGCCCGGCGTGGACTGAGAGACCCTGGCACCAAGTAAGCGCTCCCAAACTGTTCTCTAAATCAGACCTAAGTGCCTCGCTTCCTTCGCTCTTCCCTCCTTTCTCTCTCTCTCTCTCTCTCTCTCTCTCTCTCTCTCTCTTTTTTTTTCTCTCTTTTCTCGTCTCTCTTCTTTCTTCTATTTTCTATTCACTCAATTTCCTTCCTTCCCTCCTTCTCTCTGTCTCTCCCTCTCTTTCACTCTTTTGCTCTTCAGTTTTCACCATCCCTCTCTTTCTTCTTTCCTTCTCTCTTTCTTTCCCCCTTTCTTTCTATCCTTTCTTCCTTCCTTCCTTGCTTCCTTGCTTCCTTCCTTCCTCCTTCGCTCTCCTTTCCTTCCCGCTTTCCCGCGCTCCCAGTACTTCCTTCCCTTGCCGTTCCTTTCTCCTTTCTTTTCCTTTCCGCCCTTTCCACCCCCCAGCCTCCCCATGGCAGCTCTGGGCGGCGGGAGCCCCGACGCCCCCGGCCGCGATGCCGATGGGCGCCGCCTCGGGGCGGCTCCAACCAGCTGTGCGGGGCAGACGAGATGCGGGTGGGATATTAAAGCAGCCTCTGAATAGTGATTCAGGTTCTATGGGAACCCCGGCAGATGACAGGATCGCGATTTGGTATTCTTATTGTTGGCGGCGAGCTGCAGCCGAGATCGGATTCAAACACATTTTGCGCTCGTTAAAAATTCCAGCGTACGGTCTGCGATTTTTTGTCTTTTAGCCCAGCTTCAATTGGAGGCGAAACTTGCCGCATAAAGTATTCAAAGTCTGTCTAAAGTTGCCTTTTAACCGGATTTTCCCCCCGCAGCCCCCGCCGTATCTCTTGGTTCTTTCGGTTGACATGGTGCAAATAAAAGTCAGTAAACTTGTTGCTGAATTGCAATGTTTCGGTGTACCTTATAAATTCATACCTTTTCTCCCTCGATCGCCTTAGAATGAGTCCCTGCCTCAATTCGATTTTCCTTGCTGTTGGGCACATTTAGGAGAGAGTCTATTTGTGAAGTTCATTTCTAGGCAAATGTATTCAAGAGCTGATTGGGATGAATAGGACCGTGTGTCAGCCGCCCCTAATTGGGATTAAAGCACTTCGGACCATATGCAGAAAGTGACAGAAATTCTCAGGTTTCATTGTGCTCAGACTTCCACCCGCCTGGACGCTCCTCCTGGAGCGGGGACGATTACAAAGATCTCGGGGAGAAACTGAGGAAATGAAAGGGCCTCAGCAAGTGACGGCGCTCACGTCTCCCTGAGCCGCTGCCCTCGGCGGCGGCGACGGCGCCGGAGAGAGGGGAGCGCGCGGAGCCGGCCGCGCTTTCCCGCCGCAGCGGGGGCCAGAAAGTGGAGGAAACCTCTGATCCCGCGAGCCCAGAACTGGTCTGGGCTGCTTGGGCACCCCCCGAGAAGCCCCTGGTCGCCTAAAGGCGTCGAGCCCGGGGCTGCCCCTCTCGGCCTTAAGGCACCTGCCCTGGGCACCTCCCCGGTGCTTCCAGGGGACTCCGCCGCGCGCAGACCTGGAGCGAGTCTGGAGGGAGGGAAGGAGGGAGCGGGGGAGGGCGAGGGGCGGAGGGGCGGACCGGATAAAGCCGCTCGTGGCCGGGACGTCTCAATCAGAGCGCGCGGCTGCAGCCCCTGCGCGGCCGCTGCCACCTCGGGCCAGGGC